CACGTGCTTTGCATTATAAGAAACCAACACAACTTTGTGTCCCTCCAATAGAGTGTTCTCGTTTATCTTCATGGTGCCAAACCAGACACAAACACCATTAGGACGGATTATGACAATAAGCTAAATTCAACCCTTGTATGTTCCATTAATATATTATAACAGCTTGATACCGAATCGCATGATGGAGACCATTCTGCCCACAGATGTGTTAAGGGGAAACGGTAGATTTTTCAATGTCTGTATTATGAGAATGCCATAACGTTAATACATTCATTTATTCTATTTAGAATGGAAGTAAAAATCACATGCAATTACAAAGACACCTTTCATGTAGACATGCTTTTATTAGATGGAAATCGCCTCAAGGCATTTTACTAACGAACACATTTATGAGCACTTTTATTCTATTTCTGAATCTGTGTCTATGTACATGCACATGTGTGTTTGTGGATCTGTTCATGTTTGGTTGCTTAAATGTATCTGCCCAATCCGTGCCACAGCTTCACTGGCTCCTCTGGAGTGTTGACCATGTCCATCCAGAGATGGAGTTGAGGGCCTCTGGTGTACATAAAGGGCCCTAACACCAGCACTGCCAGTAGGACTGCAGGCTCTGGGAGAAAGATATATGAATGTCACTGTGTCAGTGTTTTGTATCTTATTTGCAGCAATATTAGGGCAATATTAGTGTCCTGCCCCCCCTTGAAGGTGAAGTTAATTTTATTTTCTATATAGCGGCAGATCACAACACAAAAAGGCATGATGAAGTCGTACCAAAGTCAGTGGCATTAACCACCAAGCTATGGATTTCAGCCATTTCAGCATTTTCAGGTCAATTCTTCAGCAATCAAATTGAAACTCTCATTAGTCAATCAAAATAAACAATGTTTGATTGATTTGTTGTCTGAGATGCATCACCCCCTCAATGCTTAAAGCTACAGTAAGTTTTTTTTTATATATATATATATATTTTTTGTGGAAACATGTATAGTATTCTCCAAATTTGTACAAGTACTGTCAAAAACTCCTGCGACCCAAGCTCATTGACCAGCCTTGAAGCAGTGCAGAGAATATATTCCCTTGTGAAGGTTTTGGAGCGAGTCTCATTTTTTCTAACCAATCAGACATTGCTATGGCTGACTCACAGCCTAGCAAGCTCCTGATGCCAACATTAACAGACACTGCAAACATAGAAAAGGTAGCAATGTAGTAGTAAGGATTTCTGCAGACTGGTAAAATTTGCAGCATTCTAATTTATTGTAATTTCTTCAGAACTAATATCTAAAGGGCTGGGCAGAGTGTAGTGGAGCAGAGAGAGGGAGCTGAGTGGTGCAAAGTAGATTGATTCAAGTTTCACATTAGCACTGGCTTGAGTCCCAAAGGTTACATATTGTAGCTTTAACTATCATTTGGAAAATGTATAATGCAGTACCACACAGCAGAAAATCTATTAAACCTCTAAAAAGGTTTATAGAAATGGGATAAAACTCACAAATACCAGATAAAATAATACCAGTATGGGAATGCTACAAATAGTGGTAAAGTTGCATATAAATGAATGTAGTGCTGCCCTTGTAACTGCTCAGTTTCTCAACTAGTATCTGACTCTGTGTTAATATTCCTCTCAGGCACTTGAAAGTTCCAAGTGAAAAAGAGAATATGACCTTGCCTGTGTGGCTGAGCCTGTGCCCCAAGGATCTCTAAGATGGAGAACGTGGAAAATAAGAGGCATCACTTTCTGATGTGCTTTTCATCAGCGGGTTTTGAAGTATCAGATCACTTTCACTGGCCCCTGCTTGATGTAAGGCTGTGGACCAGCAGAGAAACTGTACCACCTGGTGTATGTATCTGTGTGTGTTCGTGTGTGTGGCTACGTATGCAGACTTTACTCAGCCAGCACAGGGAAAGGATCCATTCTCTCATCAAATATTCACTAGCAGGCTCCCAACTGCCTGCTGCTGTAATATACACACACACACATACACACACGTTGCTGTTATTGGTTCCTGATGCATTCACTGAAAAAAGTGGCTCATAAAATGTTTGAACAGTTAATTTTGAGGATAATTTTCTCAGATTTATGCAGCTCAGCTTCAAGTGAAACTGCCATAAATGTACACCTGAATAAAGCATATCTCCCACTTCAATATTAACTGGTTGGGTTGCTAAATAAGTTAAAAAGCAGTTCCTAGGTAAAGATCTATCCATAAACATGTGTCAAGCCCATGCTCTTCTACAGTATTTTTCAGATGTTTGCATAATACCCTGGCCTACTGCATAGGCCAAGTTTGTGCATCATCATTCATATATTCTTTATAAACATTTCATGCATTTTTAATGTTTTTTACTCTTTTACTAAAAGTAGCAATAACAATACCCAATGTTCAAACATGTTTCAGTCCAGTGATATGATCTACCTCCACTTAATGTATGTATTCATGAATAACAGTGTCGCTGAAATTAGAAAAATTATATGTGATTTGAATTTGATATGCAAATGTGCAATGCTGGAACCCAGGTAGCCATAACTGAATGGGGTAAAAAAAAGAACTGAAAAACAAACAAACAAAAAGCACAATATATTTGTCATAGACATTAAAATAAGCAATGATCCTCCCTACTGTAATATTTCACATAAATATGACAGATAACTAGCAGTTCTGCTGAAAGTCTGTTTATTTTCACTGTCACATCATTTTGAAATAGGCCAAAGACAAAGAAAAATACAATACCTGCTAACTTTGTAATACAAATCATTTCATTGAAGGAATTAACTTCATAACTAATGTGTTTTGTTTTCATGAAATGCTGCCAGCTCTGAATGATTGTGCAAATACAAACATTTTGGCTGAGGGACAGTGGGAGAATTTAATTCATTTAAATCTCCAACACGTAGTACTAAATACAAGTATAAGTTCTAGTGATCTTATTTATGAATATGGACATTTGAAGTCTTTTTATGTGCAGACCGTCCTAACTACTGTAGTGTTCCACGTAGCCTAAACTGCAGAGTCATATATGTAATGCTTAGAGTTAATCAGTGATGTATTACATATGAGAAATTACAAAGAATTAGCACTCTATAAGATGCTTTGAAGAAAGATGCTAAAAATGTCTTAAAGCGTGAGCAGTCTTCTTAATATTTTTAATCAGATAACTTCTATAAATCCTTACTATTTTCTGTGGAAGGAGTCTGTCTTTGCATTTGCAGCATATGTTGGTTTCTTACAGCCTCAAGCATGTTCTCTCAGTGCACCTCAGCTGTTGCCCATGGCCAATTCACAGTTGGGTAAAATGCTGTCTTATGCTTTGTGCTTGTGCCTACTCTCTACAGTGTGGGCAGCTATATATCACAGATGTCATCTGTTTTTTAGAGCGATTATATTAGGTTAGGTAGGCATTTTGATTAGACAAGTAGAACAACTCAGTCAACATTTAACACCGCCCAGTGCCGCAGGCATGGTTGCCTACAGCATGTGCTTACTTGATCAAACACAAGGCCTTGAATATTCAAGGTCCTTGGCTTTAAAATCTTTTGGGATCTCCAGCAAAATGGTAAAGGAAGTCCTGATAGTATACTACAGAGAGGAGAACTTCAGATTTCATGTCCTTATATTTATAGTCAAGCTTCTGGAAGTGATCCTTAAGTAAAACTGTGTCGTATTGTGATATAGCCTTTTGTATATAGTGCTACACTTTCTGATATTGGCTCATTCCTGTTATCCCCAGCATGTAGGGCCAATATACCTATGTGCTGCTTGACTGCCTGTGCTGTTTGCTGTTAAAAGCGTTGGCCAGCTGTTGGGGCTGCCACAGTGTAAATGCCAGAGTGATGTAGTGAGAAAGATGTAGGGATAAAGAGATGGGCTAGAGGGGAAAAAACAGCCCCCACGGGGACACAAAGGCTGTGACTACACCTAGATTTTATTTTAATGCATGCAAATATAAACATTTACACAAAGTTGCACAGATGGTTTTATTTTCAGACATGAAATGTGCAAATGTGTTTCCAAAATAAAAACACATGACATTGAACCTTTATTATTTATTTTGTGTAGTTGTGATTGCTCACTTACACCTGTCTGACATTGTTCACCATATTTTAGGGCATCTGTTTGCATCTCACAACTCTTTTTTTCCCCTCAACTTCTCCTTTTTACTCACTTCAGACTCAGTTTGGTTCTCTGCTTTCCCTTGGCTATCTGTAGAAGGAAAAAGCCAGATGATCTACACTTCCCATCTTTCTCTCAGATGTCCTCTCTAGACCTCTTCTCTGATATAAGATATGTGAGCTGTGAGAAACATTACAGAATAATGTGTGGTAGGCATCTTTTTACAGTACAAACTCCTCCATGGGATCAAGAAGAGGCACACAAACATTTAGTTGAGTGAGCGATGTTAAATGAAAGAACTGATTTTTTTATTAAGTTGCATAACTGCCGTACTGTATATGCTTTTGTCAGACATATTTGGGTTAAAAACAATGATTATGCACAAAAAATGAATAACACTAAACTATAAATAACACAAAATTACATTTTCTAGTGGTCAGTTCAGCCTCTCTTGCTGCTGGTTGTTATACTGAATTCTGTACTTCAGTGACAGCTGTACCAGCAAGATAACACATAATGCATGTTGACACACTGCTGTGTTTTGTTACCTGTATTATTTCAGGTTCCTTTATCTATTTTCTGTATGCATATTTAACTCTGTGTGTATGTTGTCATCATGTTTATCGGTGACAAATATACACCTCACTTTAAAATTGGAGTTCTTTTGTACCACCCTGTTATGTACGCAGCTACCTGTGCAGCCACTGATAATAGCCCCCGTTCACTTATCGGTTCACTTGTTGATATGAAAAGGACTGTGCCTGATGTTTAACCTTCACTCGCTGCATCTTTGTGCCAAGAACATTTAAACATAAAAGTGAAGGCTTGTTTGATCACACTATAAATGATGATAAAATTGTCATAGATTTGAGAAAGTCCAACAAGGTGATTTATATGGAAATATTAAAAGCAGCACCACTGAGTGCTATAAAGAGAACTTGAATGAAGGCTGAAAAAAATTAATCTAGAATACAATTTGTTTTTCAGAGGCTGTAATCTGCAGCTTGCATGTCAAGATAAAACTAGTTTATGAAGTGAATATGAAGTGAATAGTATGAAAGTGAGATGCATTTAAACACAAAATTATGGGGAAAAGAAAGCAAGAAGTCTGTTCATGATCCTCCTTTACACAGATATAACTATTAAAGCTAAGAAAATCAGAAATTTCACAAACATATACATGTACACATACACATACAGGATAACCTACTGTGCACACTGATAACATATGTACTGTTACTGTCTCTTAGAGGTTCATTTATTGTTTCACCTCTACCATTCATTTACTACTACCTCCTATTCCCTCGCTGACATTTCCACTTGTAAAAACACATTCTGGTGCATTGGCCAGTGATAGGAACAACACTGTGCAGACACTGAAAATGCAGAAAAAAATGAAATGTGGAAACAGAAGAAAAGAATTAGCTTTGCCATCTTCACACAGGGACAGAAGCATGTACAGCAGTATGTTTAGCATTTGACCTTTTTATCCCTTTGTAGATCAGCAAATGGATTCCTGGCATTTTATTTCATGAAATTGCCCTTTTGAACATTGAAATACTCCCTAAACCAGATTAAAGCTCTGTTTTTACATCTGTTTCCCAAAGCCGATCAGATGAGATCCATCTGTGGGATCAGAAGCTCCATCTAGCAGGCAAATGCCAGCCTCACTACCACAGAAGATGTTAACTGACTGGACCATACATACATACATTATAGTATGACATATGAGTGGCTACAGGAACCATTGGCTAGAGGGACCCAGGGGCCAGAGTAACAGTGGTAAAACCTGGCAGAGAGAGAAGAGCCAGCCTGTTGCTATGGTAGCCATGTGGAGTAAAGGTCTTTTCACATAAAGTAGTTTAGATAACATACTATAATGTAGATGTAAGCAGATGTACTGAAAATCTTTATAAATGTATATGTCAAATATAATTTTTCCAACAATTTTACTATAGTAAATGAATTTGTAACAATATAAAATACTTCTTCATTGATGTTATAATTGTTAACAGATATTGTGTAATAAATGCTTAAAATCGGCCTTTTAAAACTACATTACAGTGTGTTATAAACCATTATTCAAATGTGCACAATACATGGTGCTTCTAAATGCTAAATTCAGGAGTTAAGTTACCTGCATTTCACCATTATATGGCGCACACCATACCTTGAGGAAGCAAAGCAACTTTTAAAATTTTATATTTACTTGTCTGATGAAATATAAAATACATAATTATGAAACTAAATCTCAGTTTATTTATTCATGTTTTAATCTATGTACATAACTATAGCTTTCTGTCCACTTTATTGGCTCAGTTTCTCAATATGCAATATGAGTGTGTGTCTGCACATGCACAGCCATTACTTCTGGCTAAACTACAGAGGTAACACTGAGGAAGAACAGTCCCTTTTTTAATGGTAGGTATTTATAACATCTACAGCAGACACATTTTCAATTTGAGTCTTAGCTGAGGAATATGATGATGAGTGATGATGTAAGGCCAAGAAAGCAAGAAAGAAAGAAAACTACTAGGAATTTCACTGTTACACTCAATTATGTTTCTGTCATCTCAGAATAACTGAATATTCATGAGGCTGACTCATCATGCTTGGATGGTCACCCTAACATTTTCAGTATTTTGGCCTTTTCTTCTGTGGGAAACGTCATGTTCTTTATTGCTGTTTGTTTGGTACTGTAATTATAAACCCCATCTGCAACATTGTGGGGGGGTTAGGGAGATGAGGGGTAAGTAAAGTTTGCCAGAGGAAAGAGAGAGAGAGAGAGACAGGAAAACAGCCAGCAGAGATGGCTTTATGAATACACAGTTATAGTTACCAGATGTGCACACAAAGACCACCCTGAATTTCAGATAAATACAATATCAAATACATACAATACTGTTAGTACATTTGATCACAACTGTAGATTGTAGACTCCTACAATAATAATAGTATCCATCGACTGGACCACTTTTTATCAATTCTAACAGGTTTTACAAATGCTTAAATAGTTATTGTTTTCATTGAGCACATAGATATAATTAAATGTTGAATCTCACTGTAGTGGCCATAACCATGCACACCACAGCCATGACCACATTGTAATCAAATTAGCATCATCATAAAGCTCAAAAGATTTTTCACTGTACAAAAAAAACAACAGCACTATACTTTTCCAGTTTATGACATCTAAGAAACTACAGAACCTAAAGTAGAAATCAAGGAAATAAGTTATCATAGTACCAATAAAGAAAAGAAGGCCATCACTTTTAAAGTACAGTACATGTTTTCCTGCATAACACAGGTAGATAAGTACAGTAAGAGTCATATTTAGAATGAAAGGTGGAGCAGAGGTTTAGTGGAGCAGTGTGCCTTGGACTGATGGCTGGGTCAGCGCACAGAAGCTGTCATGTTCTGCCTCTTCAGATCAGAGGCAATGTCACTAAATAAGTCATCCATCTTGACCCAGAGCCTCCGCTTTGCTCTGCACTGACAGATATTTGGGGCATTTACCCTGGATCTGCACTATATAATCAGTGTACACAACACAAAAAGGCAAAATGCTGTTTTTTTTTTAAATAAAGAAAATCAACACAGTCAAACTATTTAGTGATAAATGTAGGTACAATAGCTTGACAGTCTGCTACTGTTGTTTTATTGTTACTGCTCTGGTTGAAAGCAAAGTGAAAACCTTTTACATCGTGCAAACACTGAATGAGTCTGACCTTTAGAATTTGTGTGTGTGCGCATATGTGTGTGTGTGCAGTCAGTCTCTGTTCTCCTCAGGTGACCAAGGTGTGCCTGGGCGCTCGGTGGGAGTTCTCCTCTCCCCTCCCTTTCCCTCTCTTCTCACCTCCCTGAGGAACATACTTCCTTTTGGCTTTTTTACGTTTTTTATCAGAGCACCACACTCTCTCACAGTACTCTTCTACTCTCTGGGCGTCACCGTAGCCAATCAGCTGGAGAAACTCCTTATACCACATCCTGGAGTGTGGACCTGGGACTGAAGATGGCGCTATGGATCTGGGGCTGATGCTGGGGCCTGGTGGGGGGCCCATGGAGGATGAGCATGGAGTTGCACTTTTTTCTTCCTCCCCATGATTAGCCTTGTAGATTGCTAACTCCACCCTCTCCCCTACGAGCACATGTAGCATGATACGTAATAATGTGTGCACGTATCCGTGTTCCACAGTCTGGCACATGTACACACCAGCATCTGAGCTTCTCACACGTAAGAACAGCAGCCCGTGGGAGGTCACGATAACCCGCTCATCACTTTGAAGCTACATGGAGAAAAAAAATCAATTTAAATGTTAGGTAGGAATTTAATTCCAATGCCAAACAACATCTCAAAAGAGATTTTGTGTATTTACTTAGGACAACCCACAAATGCCATCATAAAGCACCATACAGTAAATGAAATTCTGTTCATCTCAATTGCACTGAGGTGGCAAAGGAAATTTCACATGTAAGTCAAACCAAAGATATTTGAATGGATAAACAGTTCTCAGCATCAAACAGCATTTTAAGGCATGCATTTGTGCATCAGACTCACTTGATGTTTTTCTCCCCCTTCCTGTAAGAACCAAAGCACTTTGGCCTGAAGTGAACGAGGGACACATTCTAGTAAAGTGCTGTTGCTCTCGACACCGTACACCAGCTTCTCCTCAGCTCTGTGCCATTGTTCATCTGTGCACATGCATATCATAAAACACGGTGAAGCAAATCTGCTGCCACAGTAGAGGAGCACTAACCTCTCTAAGCTCCAAATGCAATGAGAGTTCTTTTTTTTTTTTTTTTTAGTCTTGTAATTTTGAAGAACTGCATCATTTCCTTACTTGTATACGGTATTTATCTGAAAAAAATTAGCAATGCCAGTAAATATACACAACATCCCCATGCACACACACATCACACAGTCATTTAATACACTAACCATCAATTTGAAGCCCATTGCACAGCTGGATGGCGTTGCCATGGCGAACATCCTGCCGCCTGAATCGTCTGCTGTAATGGAAAAGCGAAGAGAGAGTAATTTTGAACATGTGATGAAAATGTGAGACATGAATGAAGGGAAAGTGAGAGAGAAAGAAGATTCAGAAAGAGAGAAAAATAAAAAAGGAGGAGGGGAGGTGGTTGGTGCATACTGATAGGGATTACATAACACCTGGTTGTCATGTCTCCCAGGGCCTGTGCTAATGACTTGGCAAACCAACCTCCTCAGAGCACTGTGACATTCAGGGTAAGCTGCTATAATTGAACAGAAGTGTATTGGTAAAGGTGTGAACAACTGATATCACACACATACACCCACCCACACACACACACACACACATCTGCAGGGGAAAAAGATGTCTCAAAATGTGCATGTTGTTACCTCTTGGTGTAGACTCCAGCAGGGTAGAATCTGGAGCAGGTGAGACCATCCCAGGCACAGTAGGGGTCTCTGGCCAGACAACAATCAGCACATTCAGAGCCATAGAGGTCACACTGATGCAGCCTGACCTGGGCCACACCCACTTCTGACCCAACATACAGCTGTTGCTGTAGTGTCAACAACACGAATCATTAATATCAAGACACCATTTAATTGGAAACACATTTCATGCATATGTTTTCTGTCTATACCTCATCCAACTGTGTTACATAGTCCCAAGTACATTACAGTACTGTACATCTAAACCTTATCAATCACAAAGTAATGCAAAGTGTTGCAATGTTATCATCTTGTGGTTAAACAACAGAATTGCAGAAATAGGGATTGAGATGCTCCTCTTACTCGTTTAGGTGATATTATGATCTCTCTTATTGGGACTGGCACCTGCAAATATGAAAAGGTTTATTGTTATTTATAAATGAAACTGAGTCAGTTTTTCATCAAGCAGTATGAAAATATAGTTATCATATAGTGATTTATCTCTGGAGGCCTCCTGTCATGCTTCTATCCATCGCAAATCAGTTCTCAATTAAAATGGCAACAGCCACCGCTTGCAGATTAACTTTCAAATGTAACTGATTTAAGCAGAAATGATATATATGCAAATCATTTTGAAAATCGCTCATCAGGCTGGCTGCACAATCATACCTGTGCCCCTCTGATGATTGAAAGGACACAAGTTAGCATTCAGTGTTTTTGAAACATTGCTTCTTGTTGTGTAATAGCAGCAATAATGGACTATCAGACTGTAAATGCAGAATTTTTAAATTTCACAACTGGTAGTTTACACAGTCCACTTTGCTTTCACATTTTGTAGCTAAAAATGAGATACCTTGAATACTTGCAGCTCTTCCAGCAGCACCTCCTCCATAGTGTCTGTGTCTTTGTTATAGATTGTGATAACTTTTAACACCACTGAGTCATCTATTGAAAAAAGGCATTAATGTTATATGTTGTTGTCCGCACAGAAGATTAGGGGTAAAATTCTTTATTTTCACAACACGCACATTTGGCCAAGAATCATGCACGACTGGGTTAAGCACAATACAGTATGTGTTCTGTCTTGTTCCATTCAGTCAGTCATTCATTCCCTGCCTGTCTTTACTTGTGACCTCACTCTTCTCAGTCTCCTGTCATATCAGACCTTGCCACACCCACATGTGCTGCACCAATTATTGTGAACTATTTGAACTTTTACTCTGATGTTCTGTATCGTGCTGCAGACATCTGTTATTCTGAATCACAAAAGGAATCATTGTTCAGTGTGTATACCAGTGCCAATGTACAGAACATGGTAGTGTCCATCCTGGGCGTGGACTCTGTCCACAGCAAGCTGGGTCAGCCTCCTCCTGCCGGGCTCTGTCTGTAGCAAGACAGGTCTACGGTGCTGGGGAAGGACTGGATGATACATCACAGGATGAGAACGCACAAACCGCAAAACTTCATCTGGGAACTCCTTAGAACTCGAAAAGCCACCGCCATTCACTTTACTGGCACACTGTTAAAGAGATGGCATGACAGAAACAGAGAGAGAAAGGAGTAGAAATAGATACAAAAATTGTCCAGATTTGTTGAAGAAAAGCCAGTGTGTTTTAATCTGACTCCGACTGTCCCTGTGAGACCTGCTGAGGTAGCTATGACACCGTTGACATGAATCTAAGCTGTCCTACATGCCCTTTCAGAGGACATCTGTCATAGACACAGACAAACAAGAGTGATGTGAATTCTAAATGTTGGTGCCTCAGGGAATTACTTTTCATCAACATTGTTTTACTCAGGCTTTAAAACTCACAGATCCAGGTCGAGGGTATGGGACTCTGTCCTCATAAGGTGTCCAGTGATGGTTGGGTCTCTCTCGATAAGCAAATGGACCATTAAAGGCTGCTCTAATGTCATCCATATGATAGATACACACAGCATAGCCTTTAAACACCGCGCTGCAAGGGAAGGTTTTATTAGTGATTTCATGGATTACAAAATTGTGACTGTATAATGAAATGCTGATGTCATCCTCTGCTCACCTTGTAGTGCTGAAGAGGCCAAAGATTTCTGGGTTTTTCCCATCCCTGTTCTTCAGAATGAACACATCCTCTGAAATATGAAATGCAGAATTTACCCTATATACAGTAGACAGTAACTACTAAAGCATAAAAACTGAATGCTTAACAATAAATAATGTCAATAAATAATTGTAAAAGATAAAATATAGCCCTACCAAGATCATCAAAATGCGTGTCAATCCCATTTTGTCCAGCCACAGAGCAGATAAGACGGGCTTTCAGGAAAGAACTCCATCTATTCACCAGCATTCTTTGTCCTCCTTGGTCATTCTGAAAGATGAAGACAGATATAAATTGTGACTGCACAGGCAGGTGATCTGACTGGATTATGCCCAGAGATGTTGCTACAGCATTTGCATTCTCACCGCACAAACTCGCCCGATGCGGGTATAGACGGCCTTGTTCACTCCCTCTGCATCCGTTTCTCGCTCAGTAAAGAAGAAGTAAACTTTATCATCATCCCTGTCATCATTGTCAGGAATAACTGCTGACCCCACAAATTTAGGCTCTGTAGGAAAAATAATATGTAAGAAAAGGCCTGGAGTGAAATATTAAAGAAAAAAACTGTACCAAACTGTACCGATAAAGAAATGTTTTATGGGAGGAATATTTATTATTTGATTTTCAATCAAACAATATGTTTGGGTAGAAACATATGTGCACAACATTTATATTATGGATTGTTTATTGAACACTCTCAGGTTTGTTTCCAGATATATTGTATCTATTTGCATTCCTTTGCATTTAAAGTGAGATGAGATGTAATGTACACCAACCATTCAGCTGCTGCCTGTCATCTCTTTCGGTGCGTGTGTAGGTCTGGTTGTTAAGTCGACACAAAGCACCATCATTCTCCCAGTAGTCAGTGTACAGGCTAATGTACAGTTCTCCTCCTAATGTATGTGCACAAACAGCCAAAAATGCATAACGTATTAAAATGACAGCTCCTTATTTCACTGATTATAATACTGACATGAAAAAAAGACCACAAGGTGGCAGTATTGACTGGCTAGAGGTCACCAAAGTGAGCAAACCTCTTCAATGTGGAATTGCATTCTATATATTCATTCAACTGAAATGAAAACACATTGTAGTCTCACAGTTATTCTTTTAACTCAGTTAATGGTAAGATGAGGAGTGAGCAGTGTCTTACTAGAGAGTATAGATGCACAGGGACTGTTGGGGTCATAAGGACAGCGTCCTCTGCCGCTCATAATACTGTCTTCTTGAAGAGCAAACAGCTTGTCCTGAAGAAAACATCCAAAACAGACACATGCACAAAGTTATTCTCACATAAATATGCATGCATTTTAAATGCCAAATGCACATGCTCAAATGCTGTATCCAGGCAAAAAGTTGACATTCAGACAAACCCCAGGAGCTTATTTGAGGATAGATAGATACAAATTAGAGAGATGAGGGATCCAAAAATGATGGATGAGAAGGAGGAAGGAAGATAGCTGAGACAAGGAGTGATGGATGACCAAATGAGAGACTAGCATCTATAACCAACTATGCACAGCTCTAATATCAGAGTGAGTTCATTTTTAGTTTTCTGATTTTGAAGGCGCACAGCATACATTCATACTCTACGTACAAAGACCTCAGCTGCCTATACAAGCTCATATGTTATGGGTCACCACAGTGTTTATGAATGTCACTGGCAGATCAGAGTGGATGTCACATATTGATTTACGAGCAGCTATGGAACCCTATTGTGCTGTGACTACCACCCTGCATATGACTGCAACAAAAGTCAGGTTCAAGTTTAAACTCATCCATCATATAATGTGTCCTCTAGAAGAAAAAAAAAAGATAAAATAGGTTGGAACAATATTCTCTACATGCAGTACTCTGACATGTTGGCTGTTCTAATTTAAATATTTTGGCAGTATTTGATTTGTAAAGACACTGGGTGATTTAAATGATATTTTCTAGCCAGTCATAAACCAGTGTTGTTCACTCTATAAGCATTCCAATGATGCGAGTGATGGTTGAGCATGGTTCCTGTTTGGAAGATGTAACTGGCCTGGTTAACCTACTGGACTAGTGTTGAAATACATAGTGGAAGCCTTCTCCCAGCTTAGTTTTTTTTTTTTTTTAAATACACCTCATACAGACCTATAGTACCTAGGAATGTTTGACAATTAGGAGATTTGTTTCATACTGTAGAGAAAGATGCTCACACTGATGCATGAAAAAAGCTTACTATGACCTGGATGACTGAGAATCTGCACGGACACACATTGATGCATGTAGGTAATTTTGCATGCACACTGTTATTCACACAGCAGCTGAGATACATATTTTAACTGACCCCAGAGTAAGAAAACAGAAAATGAGTCCTTCCTGATTTAAAACTCCTTCCCACAAAAGCAGCATCTGCCTTTTCTCCCTGCTTGCCTGGACAGTGGTGTCATTTTCTTTCAAGTAAATGAGAACCTTATTGCCAAACAAACCTCTCCCTCTGAAGAAAACAAAAACTTCGCCCTCTCTTACTCACTTAGTATTTTGTTCCATCGCCACCTCACACCACTCTTTGTTGCTAGGAGGATATATGAAACTACAGTAGCATGTGCTAAGTACAGCTCAAGCTGTCATAACATTTCTAGGAGCTTCAGGATAAAACATTAGCAAAACAATGTGAAGAACAGTCCAGCTACAGCCATTTATAGAGATAGGGGTTTACTATAGAGGTGCACAATGTGAAATTTGGCTAATTGTATAACAAAGAAACCTGCAAGATTTTAATTGGGACAATATTCTGTTGTGTTGCTAGTCCTTTGTAGTGAAAAAGTGATGCATACAAAAGCCAACCACAATTTCAAAGCAGACAAAAAAGCAACAGTAAAACTAGAAATACAGAATAAGTTAACAGACCAAGAAATCATTACAGTGCTGTTTGACTTTGAAGTGATTTTTGGCAGAAGGAAGCCTTTGAAATACCACTGTAAACCAAACTCTAATTCAGTCCTTGGGTCTCACCTGTCCGGTATGTCCCACTCTGACCAGGGCACATATGGGATTAAATGCTCCTGTTCCACAGACCAGCAAATGTGTCTTGTTGTACTGCTGCAAAACCTTGATGTAGTTTGCACATTCTGGCTGTTGGAGGGGATACAAAGTTTAAGCAGAGATGGTGGGGTGAGTAAGTCAATCAGGCCTCATGAGGAAAGACTGAGGCCAAGTGGTTTCATGGAATGATGTCATTTCACTGCATCATCAATATCATCAGTTCTCCTTGTTAAGCGAAGGTTAATGAGCACAGTGACATCACTTCACACATAACGACTGCGTCTGTTTCTATGATGGATCTATCTATATGATAAATGAATTATAAAGTATAAATTACAGTGTCAACTTTAAATTACAAGTTTATACATATGGCCATCTGTTCATTTGTACTTTGGTCTTGAAAATCAATAATTACTTATCATCCTTACTGCCAGTTAGAGGGTGACCCTTACCTTTTCCCTCCCCTTCATCAAGCACTCCTCTATCTGAGATTCTGTACTGGCCCACTGGATCTGAAAGGAAACACATTTAAGCTCATATTGCATTTACAATGATGTCTCACTCTAAACTAAATCAAATAAATTGTGAAACCTTTGTACACACATAGTTAGGTTGACCAACCAATAATTTTCTCCACTGCAATATTCTTGAAAATATGATACATTGCTCCAGTGAGCTCACATGGTTATTATGCTGCTTCTTTAGTGTTAAAGTCAAACTAATCCATTACTCAGTTAAAGTACTGCTTTGTAATGAACACAGACCTACTGTTTGAAGACACATATCAGGCCTGGCTAACCTATAGCCCCGTAGGTATAAAAGTTCAGTATGTCTCACTTCCTCGACATGGCATGAAAAATGTGAAAGCAGAAGTACCTCTCTATAGTGTGTATTAACGTGGTCCAGGCTAAGGGAGAACAGAGCATTCTTGGCCCCAACATAAAGCCTTTCATGGCCTTCATCCAGCAGCATGGTTTGGGGCTGAAGAGCTGCCCCATTTCCCTGGAACACCCAGGTCCTATTCAGCTGCCAAAGCTCTGAAGAGACAACACATACATACAGAAAAAGACAAAAGAACTGTAGCAGCACAATAGCAACTTGCAATGTAGCTAGAAACTAGCTGACTAGTTAAATAGTCTGTTAGATAAATAAAGAGGTGCTTCAGTAACCTGTATCTGAGGCCCCACTGCTCCTATGACCAAGGGAAATGTGTTTCTGATTCATACTTTCCCCAAGAGATTTGAAGAGAGCAGCAGCAAGGTTATCTTTCCATCCCATCTCTCCCTCCCATGTGGAACCTACGTACTGTATGACTTCTCTCAGTTCATCTGTGCTTATACCTGTCACTGGGTCAGTCATTGAATTACAACTCATCTTGTTGTTATTATGAGTAAAAGTTCACATGGCATAAAAAAGCACACAAGCAGCTCAAAGCTGACTTCCCAGGTAACAGTATGTACCAATAAACTGCTTTAATGGCTACTTTTAACAGCTGAAATGAGAAACCAATTTGGCATCTGTAAAGGCACTTGGCTTTTGGATTAATGAAAATACTAGGATATGTGTTCTGAGAAAGATCTTGTGATTGATGGGAAGGGCATTTGATGCACACAGTCTGGCCTATGGTCCCATCTACTAGGAAGCAATTGTATCTCAAGGAAATGGAACCAGTCTCTTTATTAGCCATTAGTTTGGGGTGAGCTGCCATTCCCTGTCAGTCTTGCTTTTAGGTCATCTGAAATTCTGCTTTAAAAGGGAAGCATTGGACCATGGTAGCCATGCCACTAAATATAAGCACAAACTCATCAGAATAACCACAGATCTGTGAAAAAAAAACTTGCTCAAATTCACCAGTCAGCAGCTAGGCTACACACATACATGCGCAAACACACTCAGTTTTACCTGATTGAACCTGACAGACTGCTTCTCTATACCTTCTCTCTGTGAGCTTCAGGGGAGCGGGGTTAAGGGTGAAGGATTTAAATTAAGCACCACAAGCCCAGAGGTGTGCACTTCCTTCGGGTTGCAACAGCCTGAAAAACTTTTCATTAACACATGATCAGGTTGTGATGGACGAAAGGGCGGTCTGTAGTGTATTAGCAAAACTTTTGAAACCTCAGACAAGCCAGGGTTTGTGATAAAATCAATAGCACTCACTACACAGCATGTATTTTCTCCATTTCTTATGATTTCATGCTCACATTGGGCCATCCATGCCCCATTCTTCTCTTGAAATGAAGGGAGACAAAAATGGCCATACACGCATGCACTAATATGCCATCCTTAACTACCTCAGAGAGCCTAATGTAAACGTGGCTCTACATGCTGGAGTTACAGGAGGTAATTGTATGATTCGTTTTTCTAGCATTTGTGTATTTTTATAGGTACTTGATCTCCAAGATAGAAGGAGAGTGGTTTTATCCAATTTCTATAGATTACTCATAACAACATCATGCTCTCTGTGGAAGGTTTTATTTGTTTAAAATGGGATTTGGTATCCACAGAAGAGTGGGTGACTGTGTACATTTTGTTGCTATGAGTTCTATGTTGGAGACAAGTGACTGTTTGTTTGAGTAGAATTAGACTTCGGGTAGTTAGGTGGTAGAGACGGAGGGGATGTGGCAGTAGAGTTCTGCCAGGGCTCAAACATGTTTCCTGTAATTATCTAATCCACACACACACACACACACACACACACACACACAGTGCCTCTATCTCCTCCTAGTTCCCTGAGTAGAGTTGAAGTTGGATCAAAGACAGTCCCCTAAAACATTCCATGCCAACTTTTCTACAAGTGTTAGGCTGGCTCGCAAACAATCAGCTCCTTCTTTATGTGAAGTTAGATCTGCTACCACTTATTTAGATGACAGACTTAGAGGGCTATTTAAAGTGATGGAGTAAACAGACCATAAGCCAAAGTCGTTTTGCCATCTATGTGCTTTCCACTTGTCTTTCGTGATAATGACGAGTAGCAGCTGATTTATATGGACAGATGCAATCTGTCACTAATGCAAATACAGACACCTTATTCTGTAATTTTGTTTACGTGATATTCTAGATGTTTAGTGTTTGATTCTATACTGGAATGTCACCATGCAATGCCATTTGATTGAACAAAAAAAGACTGAAACCATAACCATCAATACCTACAGTAAAAGCAAGAAAGACAGAAAAATAAATGCAATTAGGTTTATCAAAGTCAAAGTGTTTATTTGTCATATGCACAGTACGGAAACATGTTTCCCTGTACAATGAAATTCTTACTTTGCCGTCCACATGAATGCCACACAATACAAATGAAATATAAAGTAGATGAATAAGTAACACAAAATCTAAGGCACTTTATGATCCTTAACAGAACACAAGGGTTAAGCAGCAAATGAAGAGATATAATAAAAATGTATAAGACTATAATAAAAGAATGTATGCTACATGGAAGCTGTATGTGCAGTAGTCAACAGTGAATGTGCAAACTGAGAATCTAAACAGTACAGGTCAACGGTACGTCATTACATGACGTATTTCCTGGTAATAAATTCCTGTCAGCTGTTTAGGAGTCTGATGGCAGAGGGAAAGAATGAGTTTTTCAGTCTAGTGGTCCTGCATTTCACACTTGTGAATCTCCGGCCAGAGGGTAGGAATGTGAACAGTCCGTGCTGGGGGTGGGTGGGGTCTTTGAGGATGGAGGCAGCTTTCCTACGCACCCTGCAGTGGTAAATGCTCTGCAGAGAGGGCAGTGGAGTCCTGGTGATCTTCTCCACAGTCTTTACCACTCTCTGGAGGCGCTTGTGGTCCATAGCAGTAGTGCTGCCGTACCAGACAGTGATGCAGCTGATCAAGATGCTCTCAATGATGCAGCTGTAGAAGTTTCAAAGGATCCTAGGCGACATGCCAA